AACACGTGCTGTGATACATACACTGATTATCTGACCGCTTAATACATGGTTTATTACCTAGCTTAAGCTTTATGAACGTGTCGCCTAATATTTCCTGCCATGTTTATGCTCTTTTCAAACTCTCAGGGAAATATACCAGATTTTTCAGTTCCCCATTTCTTTTCTGGCTAGCTGTTTTGCATATTATTAACCAAATGTTATTGTGCAATGTTTTGAATGGTTAGTGACATATTTGTTTCTGTACGAGAATATCTCTATAGTAGTGAGTTTAAATTCTCTGCTAATCTCCAGAAAGTATAAATAACACCAGATTTTGGTGCAAACATTGTTTGTTTCACATAACTTATCCTGCTTAGCTTCTATGTGGTCTATGTTGGTAATGGATAGAACACTGTAGCAGTCAGCTTAATTTTGTGTGGTGAAATTCTTTTTGCCCTTTTTTTTTTTTTTGTAAAATTCTTAATTGATTTATCAATTGGGACTGAAAAGGAACTTTAATAAGGTATTATTTAAAAAGCAACATATTATTTGCAGTAGGATCAGAATTGTGGTTACACAGTTTATCCAAGAGTTAGCAGTCGGTTTTACACAGCTCTAGATAGAAAAGGATTATTTTTTTTTTTTTTTTTTTTTTGGTTATTTACCAGAAAAGCATGATATCAAAGTTGCCTCTTTTTTTTTTCTTCATGTTGAAACAACTGCCGTAGTCAGAATATAATTTTAAAAAGCATGTTTAATGATGACTACAAAGTGTGTGCTGGACATCATTAAATGCTGATTTGTGCACCCAGTTGCTTGAAATGAAGTGAGGTTGTAGAAATAATCGACTTGGGCAAATGAGCACTAAAATAAATTGTTAAAGCCTAAATGAACATCACACAGTGAGGAAAAAAAGAAAACATATATAAGCACTATACATCTGGATTAATACAAACTTTTAACTCTGTGATGCACTGTAGTTCCTACAAACCCAAGGTTTCCCAGACTCCCCTCCTTTCCCTGCCTCACAAGAAGCATTTCTGCCATTGCTCTTTAGCTCAGGTACCGGTTAGTGGAAATAGGAGCGAACTGCACAACGCTGTGATGAATGATGACCTCATTGGGGGAAGAAGTTCATGTTACTCAGATGAGAATGTGTGATGAGTGGATGTGAGAAACACAAAAAGCTGTAGGATTCTGGAAAACTTGATATGCCCTTATATGAACATTATTTTATCCTGAAGGCCACATTTGAATATGTCCCTTAAAAGGCATTTTTTTTATTTTATTTTTTTATTTACTGATTATTTTTATTAAGGTGTTTTGCATTTTGGTCACTTTGATGCCCTTGAGAGTTGTTTATTAACAAAATTAGCAGTTTGATCTCTGGACATTTTACATCACAACACTGGTGCTTAAGGTGAAAGTGTGTAAGAATAACATCCATTTTCATCCCTTATGTTCATTATATGTGAATTGTTGGGGTTTTTTTGTGTTGTGTTGTGTTGTTTTTTTATCATAGGTTTTCAAATTTGGAATTAAGAAAATACTAAAGAACAGTCTTTGTATTCCCTGTAGATTAGCAGGCCCTTTCAGTAACCTACAAAGACTGCCACAGTTCCTATGACCCTTTTCTCCACACACGGAATTGGATTTGTTTAATGAATAAAACAGGCCCCACCATAGTAGTTCAGCTTTCCTGTTATTTACTGATATCTCCTTTTTATAGCAACCTGAATGAATAGCTGACCTGTCTCTATAGAAAATGGAAATACAGTTTACTTTCTGAAAGCCTTTTTGCTTTCCCCTGATTTCATTTCAAATGCTTTGCTCCTTTTAAACAAAGGATTGGTGTCCATCTAAATGTACTATTTGTAGGTCTGGTTGGATTTGGGGTCCTCAATTATTCTTCTTTACCACCTTTTGTACTCAAGTGCAATTTAAAAACAGTAATTTAGTTTCTACATTACTTAGACTTGTTCTTTTAGTTCATTTCAGTATATTACAGTTCAGTTTTATGAATAGATCAGGTCATGTTTGGCACTAAATGCTTATCTCAAATGATTATATTTGATAAACTTTTTTTAGATGCGCCAGTTTACTTTTTGTACTGCTCTAGTGTACTCCTGTATTATTGACCAAATAAACACAATACCCTTTGTTTTAGCTTAAACTTAAGCATTTGTTTGAATAAAGACTAGAAATTGTGAGAATTATATTCATGAACCATAAATGTGCTTTTGTTCTTGGTGCCAACTTGTTTACTGGGTCTTTGGGTTAATGTTGATAAAGAACAAGAACCTTTTTTTTTTTTTTTTGGAAGGCCACTGGTCTCGTTGAGTAAGCTAAGATAAAAAAAAGCTCTGGAACACCATTTTAGTTCATGAAAATCCTCCTACTTGGTTAACTCCTGTGTTGATGTTCTTTACAAACCTTTCGTATTCTGATGTTATCGTTACTTGCTAAACATACCAAAGAGCAGAGTGTCAGAAGAACTCCCCTTACAAACATCTTAAGTTCTTCTCTGCATGCCTGATGATATTCCCTGTCTGCAATGTATTACTAGCTGTCAGCACACCTTGACCTTTGTCACTTCCGATGGCTCGGTGCTCTGGTTACCTCATCAGAGAAACATCTGACTAAAGGTGGAACAACAAGGACAGAAATGGGACAAAGTTTAACTTCATCTGCAGTTTTATTGTAATCATAACATCCTCACAGGTTTAGTTTAGCACTTAGTCCTTTATGGCAGCTGTTGAAAATTTTCATTGGCAAAATCAACCAGTCCTTAGCTCTATTGCAACTAATAGGAAGACCGGAAGCATGGTGTTTGTTCAGAAGTTTTAAGAAATAGTTTAAGACACTTGGTGAAACCTTAAGGGTACAGTTTTTCTTTACTGCTTCAACAATGTTAAAAGTCAGTCAGAGGTAAAGTGTTGCTATTAGGCAAACCTGGTGTTATTTTCAGCATTATTTCCATCAGAATAAGCTCTTGCAGGTAACAAACATAATGGTGTCTGTTTGTTTTTATAAGGATTCTACAGATTTTACAGAAGCTGTATGTACCGGTAAAAATCCCTCCATAAGTATAAACACTTTTGGTTTCTATTATATTGGATTAACAGGAACATACTGCAGGAAAGTCCTGTTCACTTCCATGTGTTTTTAATCTGTTACTGTGTTTATCAACTGTATGGCTTTATGAGAAGTCTTGGATTATAATTGCTGTTTTATTTCATTTTATCATAGATAATTGATATAAATCATTGTTTGAAAAGGGTTATGTTGTGATTTAAAGGAATGAGGGGAGAATGGTATGCTGTCTAGGTTTGAAAACCTCTGCCTGAGCTGTAAGGTTGGATTTTAGCTGTTACCAGAGACTAAACTTGACCACATGGTCAGTCACCCTTTGGCTGGGGTTAAAGATACACTGATAGCTTTAGACGGCTATTAGCCTGTTATGTGAAATGACACAATAAATGCACGGAAACTATTGCTGTTGTTTTCCCTTTATTTTCCAACTCATTCCTGAAACTATTATCTATAATGTTCAAATTAAACAAAAAAAAAAAAAAAACTAGGCAAATTCGCTTTAAGAGGTTATAGGTTAACATATTCTTGATGTAAAGGGAAAAACAAACTTTCTGGTAAAGCTATGAGCTTGAATTTCCTTTTGGAAAATCAGCAAGTCTCTTTTTAGGTAAAGCCTGTGACTTATTAACCAACCCTGTTAAGAATTTTGTTAGTCTATTAGTTTGTAAAACATTGTTTTATCATCTTATGAGGCATGGATCATAGTTCATCTAATTGTCTTTGTTTACACCTTTGGTGTCTGCCAGTGTGAATACTTTGAAGCAAACCCTGGTCTGGATTAAACAACCGAACTGAAAGCCTTGTTTATGATTTAGTCCCGTGCTGGTGTAAATGCAAACTGACCTGATCTAGCGCTACTACCAGAAACGTATGCCTTTTCTGGACCAACTGAGCCACCCTCACAGGGCCTGCAATGATAGTTAAAGTAGTTATACCCGATTGACCATTTTTTGCGTAACATGGCGGGATGCTAGGCTAGCAGAGTATCTTGTCTAATTTGGCTTACAACAAGAATTTCCGGAATTCCTGAAATCAGATACGAAACATCCAATAAACCTGTTTTGAATGAGCTGTTGACACAATGATTTTGCAGCTGTAACAGTGTCCAGAACATCTGTTAGTTTTCCTTCATTTCCAGGTCCATTATCTGTCCTTTCTGTGTCCTTTATATCCATTTGAGAATTGATTTTTACACTCGCAGGTTTGTTCACGGGTTATACTTAACTTACAAAAAGTACTACGTGAAATGGAACTGTAAGAAATTGATAAAAAATAAAAACTATAGGCCACTTTTGGTTGCAGACTAGCAGACTGAAGGACTTTTAGTATGAATGCACTCTCTTGGAGAAACCTGATTGAAATTTAGAAATATTTGGGTGCAATAACATGACAAGCATGTCTAACCAGAATGGGACTTCACATTCTGTGTTGAAATCTGCAGAAAGTTGCTTATATAACATAATTTGCCCACTGGGCTCTACTTAAGCGCCTCCTGTGAAGTATTTTCAGGTTTAAAGTTTGACTCGGAAATCTTGCTGTAGAAAAACATATTTTATTACTTTGCTATGTTTTTACTGTTTGTTCTAAAAGCAATACACCATTGCATATGCTAACTGTAACGGTACTCTGGTACATCATATTAGATTTGATTTAACTTTTCCCCATTTTTTTTAGTTTTTTTTTTTTTTTTTATGATGAATTAGTCAGTCCTAAACATTTGCCTTTGTTGTCGATATCCAAGCATATACTCCAACCCTTTTGTGTTCCTAAGGTTCAATGCTATGAATTTAATTGAACATTTCTTTCAGTAGCACTATGTTTGTAAACTGTTATTCAGACAGCTGCATTTCATGTTAGCGAATACTCTGTTAATTTGCTTTTGATTTTTGTGTATAATTTAGCTAATTATATCCCATCTTCTCGTGCAGTGACAGTTATGCGCGTGTGAGAGCAGTGGTCATGACTCGGGATGACTCCAGCGGTGGGTGGCTTCCCTTGGCCGGCGGAGGACTTAGCTATGTCACCGTCTATAAGCTCAGCCGGGCAGAAGACAACAACAGCACCCACAGTGGGAGTAGCGGAGGAAGTGGCAGCAACCTAAGCCCCTGTAGTCCCAGTCCGAGTCCCACTGCTGTGGAGTTCCACATTAGAGGCGAAAGACTCAAAGATAAACTGGTAAGAAAGCTCCCATTCTACAAACTGAATCAATTAGTTGGACTATTGTGCTTTAATTGGGCTTTAATGGTGCAGTATTTGTGCAAAAGCTTAAATTTCCTTTGTGTTTTGTATCATCAACACTTTTTGAAGTTATGAAAGTCTTGAAGCCCCGTTTACTTCCTGTAAAAAATAATAATTAACATCAATATGTTTCTCTTTGTCTACATTAAAGGGTTTATTTAATAGCACACAATAGATTGATTAAAATTTCGACCATTGGGAAAGTCTAAAGTGTACAAAACCATGGTCACTGAAGTGAAGCCAATTTATCTTTACCATTGACTGAGGCTAAAACCAACAACAATGTCCCTAATCCACCAGAAAGTCTGTATTGGCTAACCAAGACGAAGTCTGAGGAAGAAATATCTGTGAAAGGAGTTGATGCTAGATGTTAAACCAAAGAACGAAGGAACAAGCTTTTGGGAGCGGCAGTTATTTAAGGTTTGTGGATAGTATAATAAATAAATATATAATTTAATCATTGGCAAAAATACACATGCATCCATATTGTTTTTGAGGTAACACAAATGTTAAACATCTGGAATCGCCATTTCAAACTGTACCTAAACCCATAAAAGAAGTGCCCATACCAATAATTTATCTTTTTAAATGAAATCGACCAATCCATCCCACAACGAGTAGTTAAAGATCGAGGCTACAAAGTGGGTCCTCCAGTCTCTGATGACTCGGGAGAACTTAACTTGTATTAGTGTACTGAGTTCATGTATTTGACCCTGTATGGATTAGATAAACTTCAAACACATCTCCCTATTGCTTTCTAATTGTGCTCCCAGTTCATGTTTAAAATTTAATTGATGTTGGAGATCTATTCCACTTGAGCTAAGGAGCATTAGAATAAATTATTAAAATTTTTTCTTACAGGCACTACAGATTAGTATAATTATTTTAAAATGTTTATCTCTTTGATGCACGGTAGTTCATACAAAATCCAATGTTTCCCAGACTCCCCTCCTTTCTCTGCCTCACAGGAAGTGTTTCTGCCTTTGCTCTTTAGCTCAGGTACCGGTAAGTGGAAATAGGAGCAAACTGCACGACGCTGTGATGAATGATGACCTCATTGGGGGAGAAGTTCATGTTACTCAGATGAGAATGTGGGATGAAGGGATGTAGGAAACATAAAAAACTGTAGGATTCTGAAAAAACTTGATATGCCCTTAAAATCAAATTTTTGTCCTGAATGCCACATTTGAATGTCAATGAAAGGCATCACTAATTACCTTTATTAAAGTGTACATTTCTTTGCTACTGATAACCCTTTCAGGCACACCAGAGATCACAGGAACCAGCCAGAGCTACATTTTGCATTCAGCAATGGTGCATTAAATGTAGTTATGTAAGAATAACATGTATTTGCATTGCCTAATTTATTTATTTGTAAATTGTTTTGCTTTTTACCCCCCCCACACACACACACACACACACACACACACATTGACAGTTGATTATTGTAACATATACAGATTCAACCCCCTTTTTCAACACTGCCAAACAATAACGCCTAACTTGAAGGTTGTGTTATTTATACCCTGCAGCATTACATGCGTTGTCACATTTTCTATACAGTGTAGATGCAAGCCAGATCTGGTAGATCAGCTTAGAATATCTTTGGTCTGTGGTAATATGAATGTAAATCTGTTTGTCTGAGAAAGGTTTGAAGGCAGATCACAGAGGAGGCCACCAAGATGCACAGAATCTGGCAATCCCAGACTATTCGACATTAGAGATTTGTTACACAGGCGCCTGAATCAACGCTTTCATCTTTATTGACTGAACTCATTTACACTCGTTTTATGTCTTTGACTTGTTTGTGTTTTGCACGTTGCTATCCAAGCCCGCGAGTGGCACAGGGAAAAGGGTGTGACTAGAATGATGTTTTTCAGACGTGGTGTAGACGTTGTTCAGAGACCCCAACAACTACACTGGGATGTGGTTAAACACCCCCCCGATTACAGCCAGGGTCACCAGCCACAACAAACACGCCACCACATGTAGGTCCATAGGGATGCCACCCAGTGCCGGGGTGTTGGCTTCAACCTCAGTGCTGCCATGACTCCAAGAAAACGGCAAACCACATTCTAATGTCAGCCAGTATGAGGAAGAAAACACTTTATATCAGTGCTTGTTGCCATATAATTTCTTATGCCGTTTAAAAAGAAGCACTGGTGGTTTTTCATTGCGAGTTAAACAATACCACCTATATTCAAATTGAATGAATGATTCTCAAACTAAAGAAGTAAAGAAGACCTTAATGCCTGAAATACAACCTGGTTTTCTTAGTTTACCACTGAGCCATTGTCTTGCAGAAGTGTCTTGAAGAGTGTCTAAAGATTCTTTCAGTTTGTGAAGGGAAAGGAAATGTTTATGTGGTTATTGAAAATATGTTTGCAAATTAAAATCTGAGAACTGTCATATGCATCTTCATTCAGCCCAAGGGGCTCTGTAGGAGCACCTTTCACTCCCATGACTACAACAATTATTTTGCGGTATGTCTCTACCAGCTTATGGATGTCTATGTAGCACGTATATACAAGTCTTAACAAAGACTAGATTTATTTTATGTGTGAATAATTTTAAAATGTGGGTTTCCTACCAATTAGGTTCTTGTTCTTAACCTGGGAACTAGAGCTGGTTCATAACTGGGACTATCAATTAACCCGTTTTTTCCACCACATGGGAGCCACATCACCATCATCAATCCCTAACTAGTTTAATGCTGAATCCCCCCAAACACCCCCCCACCCCCCGTATTATCATGTGTTTTGTGAAAGACTGCAATGCATGGAGATGATTTAACCACACATGGTTAATCCCTTTAAGTAGATATCCTAAAAAACACTCTTTAAACAACCAGAGGTACATTGGAACAGTCCTGATCTATTATCTCTTGTCTTTTAAACTGAAGTTAAATACAGATACTAGAGTCAAATTCAGTAATACATCCTTGTGATTTGAAAAGAACATCAGATATAAATCAGAAAATATGAGTTTGGATTTAGGGAAAAACATTGTCTATTTGGGGTGCAGTGAACTTGTTTCCGATGGGGGATAAATTGTTTTAACTGTGTATAATTTAGCTAAGTTAATATGTTGATGTGACATTGCATTATTGAAGCACAGCGTTTAGATAAGGACTCACAAAATATATACGCTGTATGATTTTTTTTTTTTTTTTTTTGCCCTTTTCAGTTGTGCAAGAATTTTTTTGATATGCAGTTTGAGCAGGTACATCGCATCAGAGCGTCGGGCCGTACAGTGTAAGAACAAACATCTGAGCTCTGAACTTTAAAACCCGGCAGATTCGTCATACAGTTTGATCTGTAGCTGAGTGCAAAAAATGAAAATATTGCACAGTGTACGCCAGGCTTAACATAAGGGGTCCCTCACTCTTTCTGTTTGTCTGTAAATGTCTATCCCAGTCCCAAGTCTTTAGCATCCCACTGGTTTCCCCCCATCCCTGCTCTGTATTCCTCTCCATCATCTTCTCCAACCTCCTTAACTGCATAATGCTGCCACCACCTACCCTGTAGTGGGTAACGTGTTCAGGGTGTTGGATTAGAAGTGGGCCTCATGTAATCTGCTAACAGATTTCCCCACCTGAGCTGCAAATCTCTAAAATCCCCTTAAAGTGACGATCAGCTACTTGTCTGGTTCCTTAGATGATATAGCATCTTTCTCCTTCTTGTTATATTTATGCATTGAGGGCTGTGGTTTTAAGACGTTCAGGATTCTGAATACTTTCCAAGGAAATCTGATTCAAATCAGTTTTCCGGTCTGCATTAAGCAGAAATTGTTCATCTGCAGCAACTGGAGTCAGCAGATGAGAAATATTTGTGAGGCGTTTTGCAAGCTGTTATCAGGTAATTGAGGATGTGTAAGATGAGAGGAATCCAAAAAAGAAAAGCTTATGATAAAAGAGCAGGAAGTGGAGGTGGAGCCACAAAAATGGGAGACGAGAGGGGGAAAAAAAGGTGGAGGGGTTTTGTCTATAAGCGCAGTGATGCGGAACAGAGTGTGCTGATGATGACTCAGCTGGCTCTCCATATAGCCACCAATCACTCGCCGAGTTCCTCCCTTCTCCTCTGCCTCCTCTCCCTCTCTTTCTCTCACTTTGATGCTTTGCCTCTCTTAAAACTACCGATCTAATTGGTGGATGTTAACTGGCCGTTCCAGCGCTTGGATTATAATAAATCTCTGACTAAGCTCTTAGCTCCGTCACCTAGCCTTTCACCATGGGTAGCCAATCGAGCTGTTAATGTAGTGTTGTCTAGAATAGCTGTTTCTCAATACATCATTTGGTGGGACTGTTTTTACTTGTATAAAGAGCATAAATTTCAACATTCAGTTTTATTGTTGAAAAATGAAAATAAAAAACACATATTTTGTCACTTTGTGGATCACTATTTAATTATTCTCTGATTTCTTACATCTTAACTTTATCCCTCACCTCGTTTGACACATCCTGTTTGTTTCTTCTGTCTCCTTTTTTGGAAAGGTGGCCCCTCCTCCTTTGCTGTTTTCTTTAAGCACTTTGTGGAATGTGGTGTTAAGTGTCATCCTGCCTTGCAACTGTGATACTCCTTCCTCTGTCAGGCGTTGCTGTGACGCTCACCTTACCTGCTCTGGCTCCATTCAGTCTCGCCTCTACAGTCACCACCCTCCAGAGGCACTATGCGCACCCCATCCTCTCCACATCTCCATCCATCTCATCTTCCCTCTATTCATTTAACTCTGGCAATACCACACAAGCATGACCCTTAGCCCTTCAATTCTACTTTGAGAAAGGTTTGGGAACATTATGGTATTTTTCACAACGCAGTTCCAACAGATTGGATAATGTGTCCCACTCTATCCTGATATTCATCATCATCATCATCATCATCATCATCATCATCATCATCATCTTGCAACTGTATCAGCCTCCTCGAACAAGGCACCTGCAGTTTAAAACCAGTGTTATTTTAATCACACTAGCTTCAGTGTTTGTGCATTCTCACACATTGTATCAGCACAAACACACCCTAACACTCACACTCGGTTAGGTCACCTCTTGTGCATGTCTGTAAAAACCTCACTGAGCGTAATGGCCGTCTCTCATTTCATTTAATCTGCCCAGAGGAAGGCCAGCAGGCGGCCCAGTAGCCCTGATTAATAATAGGCTTTGGAAGCACAGCCTCCTTTCTGCCCTGCTCTTGGGGCTTCCCACACACACCTAATCCTCCTGCTGCTTTAGCTCTTCAATTTTTTACTATGACCAAGATGAGATGAAATGATTATGGTGTTGTAACATTAACTTGGCTGCAGTCACTCCATCTTCTCAATAGATGAACTTCAAACTGCTGGGGTGATATAACTAAAAATGCTGAAATGGTAACTTTTTATGGTAAATGGTAAAAAGCCTGTACTTGCATAGCTCTTTTTCAAGTCAGGGGACTTGACCAAAGCACTTTAAACTACATTCAGTCATTCACCTATTCATGCACACATTCAAACACTGATTGGGGCAAATTACATTGTAGCCACAGCTGCCCTGGGGCTCACTGACAGAACCAAGGCTGCCGTACACTGGCACCACTGAGCCCTCTGACCACCATCAGGGGACAATGCAGGTGAAGTGTTTTGCCCAAGGACACGACATTAAAATATGGAGCCAGGGCCTAAAACGTCAACCCTTCGATTTCACGGCATCGGATGAACCTCTGAATGTCTTGATAGAAGGAACTGACCTGAGGGAAATGGGAAGTTTTTTATTCCTAGAGTATTTCAGAGTTGAGAATATGCAAAAACAGTATATAAATTGACACATTTTGTCTGGATTAAAGACATGAGATATTTTATTATTTAAGGTTGGATGTTTGTCAGAAGTCTTAACCAGTTAAGCCATGTGGCTAAGGATTGTGCAACCAGTGTACAGGTCCAGGTCTCATGTTACTTTGCTCTCATTCTTGTTTAAATGGCTTTTTTTAACTACTAGAAATCAAATTTAATAATCTTCCTCAAAGACCTTCAGCAAGCAGCGCTACATCATCCTTTTAGCCTGGCCAAATCAGTCGCCTTCTAAGTTTCAGAGCTTCCAAGAGCATGGTAACTCTGCTTTAAAATCATTGCTGAACGAAGTGCATTATGCTTTTAGGCAAAGGATTGATCATTTTCATTAAGCATTGTTTACAGGGAGTATCTTGTTGTCCATGTTCAAAGTTTGAACAGAATGCATGTTTTCTTCTGAAAGGACAAAACATACATGCAAACATGCGCCTCATTTTTTCTGATATTCTTTACATATATACTTCTGCTGCTCATTTGTGTTGTATTACCTGTTCAAAATAAAATTGTTTAGGTTTTATTTTTGTTCTCTGATAATTCTGATTTATGGACCATTGGTGCTTCATATGATATTGGTGAGATTCTCATAACAGCTTGGTGAAACCGCTGGGACTAAATGATCCAAACACAGATAAAACTTAGAAACCTCACCATTAATTCAAGTCTAAAGGAGGTCTACTTTAGCATCATTCAAAATGGCCCTTCCTAGTCAAGCGCCAGCCAAATGGCAGCCTAGTCCCCTGTGACTCCCAGCAAAATCCCCTCCATCTTTCAGCCACTGGCCTTTTCCTGGGTGTGTTTTTTTTTTTTTTTTTACTCTGACTCCACCCTGGAGCCCTGGTCAGACTTCACTGAATTACAGGGCCTGACCAGGAGATGACACGTTTTAGACAAATTATGACAGATTATTTTAGTACCAAGATTGATGTTTAAAAAGGAATTGTAGGGGACCAGCCAAGGGCCAATCAAGGGAAGTGGGAACATTTTGAATGGCTATTATTGTACATGTAACCTCAATGTTGCAGTCAGGTCCATCTCACATGTATGTTTTGTTGACGGGTAAACTGTGTGTGTGTGTGTCTCCAGGTGGTTCTGGAATGTGTTCTGCAGAGAGACTTGGTTTACAATAAGGTCACCCCCATCTTCCACCACTGGAGAATCAAGGACAAGAAGTTTGGGCTGACATTCCAGAGCCCCGCTGATGCTCGGGCCTTTGACAGGGGAGTACGCCGGGCCATCGAGGACATTAAACAAGGTGTGGGCGTGTTACTATGCTGTCTGTTTGGCTTTTGTCCATGTTTCAGAGCAAGTTAAACCAGAAGAGTCAGCATTACCTCAGCTTAACATACCTTACCTGAAAAATACATATCAACACTTTTTGTTAAAAGCATCTGAATTATTTGCAGAATTTTCCTTCCTTACCTTAACTAGAAATTCACAGGTTAGTTTATATTTCACAACAGTATTAAGGCAAAACTTTGTTCTGACCTTGTGCTATTTAATGGCAAACCTAGCTGCTGTTTTGGAACGGATGTTGGTTAGCCTCGATGATGCCACCTTTATGCCGCTTGTTCACTGAACCCAAACATGATCCTTCTTTTGGGATCCTATCAGTTCCACTTGCCCTGATAATGTTGCTACTTCCTGCTCTGGTAGTGCAGGACTTCGCACAGAGCATCAGTCCTAAAGGGCGAGCAAAGACTTAAAGCTTGATAGGTAAAACTTACAGAACAGATGACTCTCTGGGAGGGGGTTCAAACTTCAATCAGAAGAAACCTTATATTTGTTTAGGTATTAGGAGCAGCCAGACTTGCCTTTGGTTTGCTGTAGTAGTGAGTGTTTTTTGAGTCGTGATGGACTTGAGTTGCCAGCTTTTGGTCCTGATAAGCAATATTTTTATCTGCACAGAGCCAAAGGTTCCAAAGTCATCCAATTAGCTGGAGACTTGCTAACTCAGCAATCTGCTGCACAGTATTGTTACATAAGAGGTGAGCTGGCTAGCTGGGAAGATATCTTTTTTTTTTTTTTTCTGTCTGTTAACTCCCCAGATACTCTGGAACTGTAGGGACAATAGACCTGGAACAGTACATTGTATAATAAAGGCTTATCACTGCATGGCATCAGTCTCTTCTTACCCATAATTCCTTATCTGAGACTTGGAACGTCTGGGCCCAAGTCCAGGCACTTTCTAGGTGGAAGGTAATTTTTATGCCACACTGGGCTTACTGTATTTCCTGCTGGTGGAGATACAGCACAGTTTAATATGTAAAATAAAACTTCTAAAATCCATCCTATATTTTGGTAAGAGATTTTAAATAAGTCATTCTATATATATTTATTTAAGTAACTTTTAATTTGTGTCTCATTTTTGATTCCTAGCTTCTTCATAGTGATTTCATGTGATAAACAAGCACAAAGTATCTGATACTTGTGAAATCAAAAGAAATAAGTGGATTTATTTATTTATTTTTCTCCAAATGAAAATCTAAAAAGTGTGTTGTACTTTTATTATTCAGATAGAGCTTTATTCAACCAATTAACATTCTCTGGCTCCGGGAACCATGCTTTAAGTGTGGTCAGATTAGATAGTGTCTGCATATTTCAGATTTTGCCACAGACCGTCATTTAGTTTTGTGTCTGGACTTTGACCAGACATTTCTAAAAACACGATGTCTTCCTCCCAAACAATGTTGTCTGTTTTATTGAAATTGTTTGTGACCCCTGTTAGGTGTTTAATCTAGGATTGTTTTGTATTTACCGACAGTCACTTTCCCAGCGTCAAGCTCCCAGAAGACATCCCCACAGTATGATGCTGCCAACACTATGTTTCACTAAGGGAGTGGTTATAAGAGTTGTTCTGTGTTAGTTTTCCACCTAACTGTTTTTCATGAAAGCCATAAGGATCAACTTTAAAATCATCTGACTAGACGACCCTTCTCCCTCATGCTTGCTATGACCCCCCCATGGGTTGGAGCAACACGGGACTTTTTCTAGCAGTCTCTTAATGACTGCTTTCTTCTTGTCATTCCATGAAGATCAACGTAGTTGAATACACAACTTCCAGTTATTCCTGTCAATAGGTTCTTCAATTTAAGCAATTGATCCCTGCAGCTCCTTCAGAGTTACCGTGGGCCCCTTAGCTGCTTCTCCAATTCTTGCCCAGCCGATCATTTTAAGTCAGAAATTCATGTATTAATGGGTCTGATGTTGTGCCATTCCTTTCTTTTTTTAAAAAAATATTTTTTTTATCCCACAACCTGTCTGGTGTCGTGCTTGATTTTCACTCATTTTCACTACGAAGCCTTTAAGGTCTTCACAGAAAAGCTGGATTTATCCTGAGATCAGATTGCTTGGAGGAAGACTGTTCAGTTATCAGGTTCCTTCTAAATGCAGTTTAATATAGCGGATTTTATTAAGGGATGACAAAAAGGAACGGGGTCTAATGCACAACATTGATTGAACTTTTTGATCCTTCACAGCTAGGTCCTAATATAGCTATATCTATCCCAGAACATACCCTTAAGGTTGTTTTTTAGTGTAAAATGGGAGACAAATTAGTAGATTAGCTAAAGCTGCTTCATGTGTGAAGGTTTTCCCTTGAATATCAGGAAAAGGGGTGTTCATTGGATTCTGCCTAAGTGTTTGCACTTGTCCCTCCCCCTGCCACCCTTTGCCTTTTGTCTGTTTTCGTCTCGGGCTTGGCACCCTCTGTATTCTGGCAGTGTTGTGTAATGCCTCAGCTCTGTGCAGGCAGACGAGTTTGTCTGTATTCCTGTTGCATGGCTGTACTGCTGGACCACTGTGCGTGTGTTTGCGCAGTAAGAACGAATATGTTTTCGCCTGCGCGTGTGCACACGTGTGCATATCAGTCTTGCAGTCTTCTGTTGCCAAGGCAACGGTGGGCACATGGCTCAGGCAGCTTTGCGCCCTAGCACTGCCAGAGTCGTGCTGCAGGAGGCCTCTCTTTCTCTCTCTCTCCCTCTCTCTCTTAGAAGCGGAGAAATGCACGCACACGCACACAAAGCCTTTCTCCATGTGACTCAGAGATGGATGGACAGAGCGACTGAGAGACACACCATGTCTCACACAGTCCCAGTAAAATGTTCTATCCTGACGGAGACGACATTAACATGTTTCCTACTTCTCATCCCAAGTACAGACAACTGCTGCCGCTTTAAATTAGGTGTCTAATTAATTAGTTTTAATTAAATGAGACAACGTTTTATAAGATTCACTGGCTGCCTAAGGTACAGTAAACTATTTCCTCTGGAACATGCAGGGAATAGACTGGGAACCATAGACTGGGAACAGCCTTCTTCCCCCCCCCCTACTCAAATCATGTTTACTTGTTTATTTTCTTTAAAGATTTAGTATATAAAGGCACATGTCACAGATTTTCCCTAAAGGCTTTGCTGGCATTTTGCTGCTTCCACTGCCAGCTGAGGGATCTTGGTTTTTAATCTGTGATTAGACAAAATAACCACACTACAGGAAGTCTGATTTCCTGGGAAGTAACTTGGATGATTTTTGTTTGTTTCTTTTTTTTAAGTGGCAAACAGAAGCACGTTTGTTTATTTCAGTCTTGTGGTCGAAAATGACGTGATTCGGAGTTACGACTTCCCACTTCCAAAGTACAATTAAAAACATAATTTACTGGACGGTGCAGTGGGGAGAGACCCAGTATAAATGGTTTCATTTACAGTCAGTAACAGATAAACCTTCCACACAGGGGACATTATAACTGTGAAATTTCCCTTTAAGGTTCTATTGAACTTTATGAATACAGTACTTCTAATATGGTCATGTGTGTGTAGGTGCTCCAAGAGGGTTATAGGTATAGGACAAATCAATTCGGCATAAATAAAGACATAAATTCATACCTATCCTCATACTTGTGGTTTCAGTCTAATTCAAAGCTGATCGACATTGATGTTAAGCTAGAAACGGATATTTTCTATTTAAAATAATTATTTATTCTTACAAATAAAAGTGACCTTACAGATATCTTTTTATTACTTCCTCAAGTTTTGGAGGTGCACATGGTGTACAGGATAACAGTATGAGAAAGCCCAGTTTACAATAATAACTGATTTTTGTAAGATTTTTGTAGGACAGTCCTGCCAGTGTTAAACTAAGAAACATGATGGATATATTTGAAATCAATGCTTCAAACTAATTCCTTTTGAAACAACATTAAAAAAAAATCTAAAGAAATTAGTAAAATTAAGAGAATTTTTAACCTCAATAAGTCAGGTTCAACCTTGTGTACATTTTCCAGAAGCCTTTCTAGAGGTGCCATCAAGGGAGAAAGAAAATAACATCTGTACCAGCATAAACTCAAAAGCTACTCAGAGAAATAAGACATCCTGCTGCTCAATGAAGAAGCTAATATCTGAAATGTTTGATCAAACTTAACGTTGTTAGAGATGAAATAGAAAGAAATCTTTGCTTCTAAGTCTGTTTTGTATTTTACCATTTATTTTTTTTCACACCATTACGTGTTTTTCCAGTTTCAGTCAGGAAAACAAATTTCATTTGAAAAGGCTTGGTTTATATCTTATACTGCACAAGAAAAAAAATTACTTTTCACCTTCCTTACAAAGTTTAAACATTAAGCGAACCTTTACTCAGATTTTTTTTTTATTATTTTTTTAAGATCAGAGTTTTTTCTTAATTTGCCATCATAACACAGATCACATGGTGCTTAAGACACCGTCTGCCCACCATCAGCTCAGAGGCCGTTTTGGATTTAAAAATGGTTTTCAGTGTTTTAGGGTCACTTACTTTTGGCTCGTGCATATTTCATTAACTTCTGTGTTCCCCTCACGTTAACACAAGGCAGCTTTCATTTCCCCATTAGGCGGCAGGCAAAGGAAACCAGAAGCCCTGACCTTTTCTGGCCTGACAAGGATCCGTTGTTTAAAAAAAAAAAAAAAAAAAGCTTTGGGCATGCTAACCAGGGGGACACTCTATGAAACAGAAAAATATATCAGTTTTACTGAGAACTCAGATGCAGGCTTAACATTGTTTTCTTGTCATGCTTTGTTTTGGTTTTAGAAAAATTATTGTGTTAGTGGACAGGGTTCCTTATTTTTTTGCCCTCTAGTCGTGAAGTTTACATTAAAGCTACAAGTTCGTCCTCAAAAATAATTCATATTTATTGAATATTTTTATGTTTGAGTGACTAACTTCTCCCCTCCCTTCTTTCCAGTGTGTAGTCCATTTGGTGAAGGGGACACTCCTGAGGATGGACTACCGGTGAGTTACAGAACCTTCAGTGCAATTAAAGCTCCTGCATTTGTTTTAATTCAAATAGAAATAGAAAACCTCTCATGGCAAGAAGCTGAGAGCCAGTTCAGAGCAAAAACACAGCGTTGAGATTTAGATCTTAAAATCCCAAACCTATACATCATGAGGGATGCCTTGTGACCAACCTTTGAATGTAAATAACAAGACTTTTGGTACAATTCGATTTATTTTTCAAGGCAAAAACCAGGTCAGCCTCTGTCATGTGACTATCTGTTGACTTTCCATACAAGTGGTTCTGAAAGCACCACCGAAGAAGCAGCAGGCAGCAAGCATAGCGTTCATATATAATGATTGACAGTCACCTGTTCTGCTTACGATTGTTCATATCAGTTTTTCAAATATAGCTGTCAAAAGATGGACAGTTCTTGAAATGTTTTTTTTTTTTTTTTTTTTTTTTTTTTAGAGCTGGATTATATTTTTTAGATGTAATTAACTAAAGAAGAGCCAAAGTCAGTTTCTTGTTTTACTTCATTGATTTCCATGTTTCTCTTTTTAGAACAAGTTTTCTCTGTTTTTTCAGATCATCTATAGTTTCAGAAATTATCTCTGGCTTTGATTCGGCTTGGTGCATAAAAGTTTTTTTTTTGTGTTTTTTTTTTTTTTTTCATAAAATGGAGCAGAAGAGTATAGAAATGAAGTAACGCTCTGTTTCTGCTCTTGTGGTAAAGTTCCTCTTGAAGGAATAGACTCGAACATACAGGAAATCCAGTGGCACCACTGTTGCCAGGCAGCGGGACGGTGGGGGGGTGCTTTTGGAAACTGGTAGAATTGGGGGTGTTGTGTTCATGGGGTTCAGTGAGCCACTGAAGGTGTCACCATGGTGATTTGGCATCCGAATGTCGCGGTCACAGTCCTGGGCTACACAGAAAGAGAAGTGAACCAGGGACGAGGGCTGCAGCCGAAGAACCGGAGAATGCCACCATCAAGTGATGCCGCCACGGCGACCGCTTCTTTGCTTTCATTTCTTTTTTTGCTTTTTTGATCAAAATATCAATCCACAGGTCTGGATCCCCGAGGAGCTCTGACCTCGTTGTTAAACAGGCAGCAGTGGCTTAATAAGATATTTGAAATGAATAGATCATTACAGGCTTGGATTGTTCCACATGGGTGTTTGGAAAATGTATTGAAGATGGTCCCGGCCACCAACATCCTGCCCACTGAGGCCAAGCACCCACATGCATGCCCCTTCACTAGCTTACCACATTCTTCCTTTCCCAAAGCACACACACACAGACACACACAGACAGTATGCACATGTTACATATTTTACCCATAAAGTAGTTGCACAACATCCTGCTCAGCTGTGACAACCCACTGCCAGGGATTAGGCATTACTGCCACAGTCCTTCCGCCAGAACAGGAAAACTTCCACATCCAATTTAGCTCCGTCAGGAAGTTTTCTCTTATCACTTTTGTACAATAACTGCCTCTGTTAAAGAGCAGAGCATTCAGACTGTTTTTTTGGGTTTGTTTTCTGTTTTTTTTAACAGCAATGAGTCACTGTAAAAAACATGAGACCATTAAAAAACGTAAGGCGCAACATTTTCACCCTTTTTTATAAAATGATTTGGTTATTTATGTATTTATTTTTTTAGCTCTGGGACCTGCTATTCTAACAGCAACAATAATACACTCACCGGCCACTTTATTAGGTACACCTGTCCCAACTGCTCGTTAACCCTTAATTTCTAAGCAGCATGGCGGCAACTCAGTGCATTTAGGCATGTAGACATGGTCAAGACAATCTCGTGCAGTTCAAACCGAGCATCAGTATGGGGAAGAAAGGTGATTTGAGTGACTTTGAACGTGGCATGATTGTTGGTGCCAGAAAGGCTGGTCTGAGTATTTCAGAAACTGCTGATCTACTGGGATTTTCACGCACAACCATCTCTAGGGTTTACAGAGAATGGTCCGAAAAAGAAAAAACATCCAGTGAGCGGCAGTTCTGTGGGAAATGCCTTGTTGATGCCAGAGGTCAGAGGAGAATGGCCAGACTGGTTCGAGCTGATAGAAGGGCAACAGTGACTCAAATAACCACCCGTTACAACCAAGGTGGGCAGAAGAGCATCTCTGAACGCACAGTACGTCGAACTTTGAGGCAGATGGGCTACAGCAGCAGAAGACCACACCGGGTGCCACTCCTTTCAGCTAAGAACAGGAAACTGAGGCTACAATTTGCACAAGCTCATCGAAATTGGACAATAGAAGATTGGAAAAACGTTGCCTGGTCTGATGAGTCTCGATTTCTGCTGCGACATTTGGATGGTAGGGTCAGAATTTGGCGTCTACAACATGAAAGCATGGATCCATCCTGCCTTGTATCAACAGTTCAGGCTGGTGGTGGTGGTGTCATGGTGTGGGGAATATTTTCTTGGCACTCTTTGGGCCCCTTGGTACCAATTGAGCATCGTTGCAACGCCACAGCCTACCTGAGTATTGTTGCTGACCATGTCCATCCCTTTATGACCACAATGTACCCAACTTCTGATGGCTACTTTCAGCAGGATAATGCGCCATGTCATAAAGCTGGAATCATCTCAGACTGGTTTCTTGAACATGACAATGAGTTCACTGTACTCAAATGGCCTCCACAGTCACCAGATCTCAATCCAATAGAGCATCTTTGGGATGTGGTGGAACGGGAGATTCGCATCGTGGATGTGCAGCCGACAAATCTGCGGCAACTGTGTGATGCCATCATGTCAATATGGACCAAACTCCCTGAGGAATGCTTCCAGCACCTTGTTGAATCTATGCCACGAAGAATTGAGGCAGTTCTGAAGGCAAAAGGGGGTCCAACCCGTTACTAGCATGGGGTACCTAATAAAGTGGCCAGTGAGTGTATATTGACTGACATTTTTGAAATAATTCGTCTTCCTGTTTTCTCAAAGTTTGATCTTTACATTGGGAGGGGCTTCTTTTTCCTGTTTGGGGTAGTTTCCAAATAAGAAGCTCAGTTTATCTTTAGATCTGTAAATCTTTTATCTGTAAATCTGGAGAGATGGCAGCTTAACTGGGCCTAAATTCACTTTCTAGTTGTGCAAGGGTCAGTCTTTTCCCAAATGTGTTGTTAAGGGAATAGTTAAGAGTTAAAAAGCATGACCGCCTCCACTGGGGAAATCTGGTTGAATCTCATTGGTAAAATTGTCCATTAAAGCGGATATATCTAGTGATGACATTCCCTCAGTAACTGCAGTTCAAGGATTTCAGCTTTAGTCAACTTAAGGAATTGTTTGAGTTTTTTTTAGCTTTTCCAAGTCTGAGCCTATAGGTCAGAGAGAGACAGAGAAAGAACTGTTTTTGTTTATGATGAGCGATGCTGCGGCATATTAAACTTCCAAACAAGGAGTGATTCTGTTTTGTTTGGTTTTAATTCTGATTCTCCAATTCTGACATTGATTGAACCCGTTTTTTGTTATAAATCATTAATGATTCGCGTTTCTTGTATCTGAAACTATTTTCTTTTGCTTAAGGCTAGGAACTGTTTTCTCTGCTCTTCAGCACAAAGCAGAGGCTCCAAGCTCCTCTGGGGGGGTGTCTGTTAATCATAAAGCGATGGCTGCGTTGTAGAGAGAACCAGTAAGCGTTTCAGTATGCTGACGGTCTTCCTTAGTCCTTCCAGTCCTGAGCCTGTGAGGGCGGAAGTGTCCCTGATGTCGGTGCACAGGTCCATTGCCTCTGGCCTCCCACTCCTCCCCCTAAGCAGCCAGCCACATCTCCAGGGTCAGATCAGCCTCAGATTGGCCCCCACGCATGCCTTTGAATGGTGGGGCTTAGGCAAGCTCTTTAAAAGGAAGCCCAAGTCTGTTTCCCATTTTACCCCCCTCACTCCTTCCTCTGGTTCCCTTCTCTCTCTCTCACACACACACACACACGGCTGTCATTTGGCTTTTCAAGCTGCATTTCCCCAGCTGGAGCTAGTTTATGACATTCCCTCTGCAGACTCTTGGCCTCTTGTGCTCCCTCTGTTTCTCCGGCTCTAACACACACACACACACACACACACAGAAACATACACATAGCATAATCTCATTTTTTCCTGCTCTGTTCTTTCTCCTCTCTGTCTTCCTCTGTCTCCTGTTCCTCTCATTCCCATGCAGACATGGTGGATGTGGATCATGCTCTGTGGAGTGTTTAGAGGCAAAGAAGGAGCACAAACACACAGACACCATGTGCTAGCAGTCTGGAGAGGGTGGCTAGAAGAGAGGGAGAGGGGATAAGAAGTTAAAGGAAGCATCTCTTAGCAACCACAGGACAGTAATTACTGTAGCAGGAGCTAGGAGCAAACCAGATTTCCGCTGTGCGTTAAAGCGCTGGCGTGGGCTACTTTACACACAGCTCTGACTAACCGGAGCCAGAAGCCTCCTCCACAAGCAGGGAGGACAGCGATAAGAGAGAGAGAGTAGGACTAACCTTGCCTTGTGAGGTCGGGATGTGTGTGGGAAAAGAGGGACTTCAATAGGCTGTGAGGACACCTCTGCATGTGTTACACCTGGGCTAGAACAAGCTGGAAGCTTGCTGACGATGCAGATGATATTTTCAAAGATGAATTACTGATTATTTGATGTTTATAACTCTCAAAACAGAATCATCTAGCTAAAAACACTCCCCTTTTCACTATTTTACATTATTTATCTTCTGCATCACCCCTAAAATGTTATTTATAGATCTTTAATTCTGGCTGATTTCGACGGGGAATGTTCCTCATGAGATCAATCAGCTCAAGGTAAAAGGAAGATTTGCTTTCATTTCTGGCTTTATGTCTTTCAGGAGCCTTTTTTCTCTGCGTGTGTGTGTGTGTATGTGTGTGTGTGTGTATGTGTGTGTGTGTGTGCGTGTGTGTGTGTGTGTGTGATTGTTTGTGGGAACACATGCAAGCCTAATGGGAACTTAGAGTTCTTGTAACAGAAGGGCCTTGAGTCATCGCAACACAGCAGTCATTTGGTGAAGCGTGGGTGCAGGATGCCCCCTGGTGGTTAAAGTGGACCACACAGAGCCTACGCATCTTTGAGTCAAAGCTGTATCGCTCATGAAAAGTGAGCATCAGCGCCTCTGCCAGTGGAAAAAAATACTGGAAGAATTTGAGAATGTGGAACTTCAGGGATGCAGCACCTGCGTTCTTAGTTCATCTCATAATTTATTAATGCGGTTTTAACATTTCCTAACGTCCCTTGGTTTGCTGTTGTGTTAGAAACAAAAGCAGAAGGTCTCATTGACTCAGTCTTGAATAATAAAATAAGTAAAATAATATTTTAGTAAATTAATTCTAAGGGGTTCATTTCTGCAGGTTTAGCTCACTTCCCTTTTCTGGCAGAATAGTGCCACAACTGTAGCGCTAGCAATTGATTTCTTTTTTCTGGTTTAAGGTGAGATTTTTCCAAATTGAACTAATTGTATTTATCCAAATGAAAGCTTGGATGTTAATATACATTCTGAGTGGGAAGTTGTGCTACACCAATGACTATTCAAGGTTTTTTTCTCATCTGAGACAAGATGAGCAAATATACTTAAACCAGGTTTTCAAATGCATAGTTTTCCTGCTGAGATCATTGCCTGATATAAACTTTTGAAGGTTTTGACATCAGTGTTTAATTTGTTTTTGCTTCCAGGTGTGTGATGATCCTCCCTCAATCTGTACCCCAATCAAAGAGCCTTTCTCTCCTCTAAGAGACGTCGTCTCCACCGAGCCATTCAGGAGTTGCTACGTTCCCCCGCAGCCATTTGATGACAACCGCCGATACCTGCCCCCCCAGGTGTGCGCCTCCTTAAGTTACCGAAATCTCTCTGAATTCCTGTTTTCATAACTTCCAGTGAAAAATAAGAGCTATGAAACCCCCTTTGTGTTAAGTAATCCAGCTAACTCTGCCTTATCTCCCTCCTGCTTGTTTCCTGATAGTCGCCTCGTCGGGTCAGTTTCCAGGTGGACGAAGAGAAGATTGTCCGCATCAACCCACGTAAGGATGTTCTCATCAGAGGCTATGAGGACTACCGCCACCCTTTCATGAGCCCACATGATGCCGATCGGGACGACGTGGACTTCCCCACCTCTGTTCACAAGAAGTGCGAGTATTTTTTCGACGGCCCTGGCAGTGACTGCCTCTCTGGCCCCGGCATGGGCATCGGAACAGGTCTTGGCTTGGGGCTGGGCAAAGACTCCGCAATTAAGACTCAGCCGTCGCCCCTCACCAAGCCAAAGGGCCGCCGGCGACGAGAGGACGGCGAGCGCTCGCGCTGCATCTACTGTCGAGAGATGTTCAACCACGAAGACAACTGGCGGGGGCAGTGTCAGGACGCCCCGGACCCAATCAAGCAGTGCATATACAAAGTCAGCTGCATGCTGTGCGCCGAGAGCATGCTGTACCACTGCATGTCCGACTCGGAAGGGGACTTCTCAGACCCCTGCTCATGTGACACATCCGACGAGCAGTTCTGCCTGCGCTGGCTGGCCTTGTTGGCGCTCTCCTTCATTGCGCCCTGCATGTGCTGCTACCTGCCTCTGCGCGCCTGCCACCACTGCGGCGAGGCCTGCCACTGCTGCGGAGGGAAGCACAAGGCCGCCGGGTGAGCCTGCCCCCGCCTCTGCAACAGACTCTGGGACACCCTCCAAACTAGCTTAAAAAAGGCAGTGGATACAAGCGGAAAATTACTAGCCGGCATCCTTTTTTCATTCCTCTCTCAGAAGGGGGCGATGCATTGTTGACCCCACCCCCCCAAGCTCTGAGGGCTTTTGGAGTTTTCAGTTAGTGTTTGTCGCCGACAAGCAGCGGTGGAGGATAAACCATGATGCTTTGTGGGAGTTCTGAGCAACAAGTTGGGTACAGGAGCTTAAAGCTGAGGCAGAGAGAAGGAGAAGACCTCATGATTAACAGACTTTGATGTTAATACACACACACAGCTCTTTCATATTCACAACATAAATTGACAGTTGGGCCACAACATGTAACTATGAAGGAGAAAAATGTATTTTGTACAGATGGCAACAACTTCAACTGTTTTACGTGGAGGACAAAATAAGACGTACTTGCTGTTTTCAGTATGCTAAAAGGGATGTGTTGTTGCTTTTTGTGGATTTGCAGTCGGGTAACAGTGGCCTTTCCTTCATGGTTCAAGGATTCAAAGACAATGTAATTACTAGCCAGCAAAAAAAGAAAAAAAAGAAGAAAAAAAAAATGCACTAAATAGTATTTATCCCCTAAAAGTAAAGGTGAGAAAATCTTGTGGCATGTCCATGTTTAGGTGTAACTTTTCAGAGTTTTACGGCCACAAATCAGTCAAAGCTTTCATTGTGTTTTGGTACGAGGTGTCCTGACCTGAGATTATTTATATGATATGATTGCATTCCGTATTCGAGCGATTGTTTCCACGATGTGAAGGGGTGAAATGGTACCAATCTACCATGTTTAGGTCCCTTAAACAGCTTTTTCTTTCCCAGCCATCCAGTTAGAATCTACTCCAGATACATGTTTTACCTCTTGTATTTACAGCTGTAAAGATTTGTTTTTTGTTTTATTTTCGCATCTTTTCTTCCTGCTCACATTAGATTTAAATTAAAGGTTGAAATGTTGCTCAACCAGCAAGTTTTGACTTTGGTGAATAAAAGGAGTCAGCGCTCCTTCATTCAATTATGAGGCACTTAAACTGAGGATATTTTATTAGATGTTAGATTTAGGCAACATGTTAGTTAAGCACTCGGATTGGACTGGGCGAAGCCCTCCTTAAAGCACCGCTCTCCAAACATTTGGTTGCAGCACCGGCTCCACATTTTTGTTTGTCCGTTCAATCTATTTTTGTTCTTCTGTCTGTCTTGCCTTTGAGTGTAAAGCACGTTTGTCTGCTCGAGTTCAAAAGCAAACTAAAAAATGAGAAAGGGATGGAACAGACACCATCTCAGTTCCACAGTAGAAATGAGAGCAGCTGGAGGCCGCTTCCTGCTTCTGTCCACAATCTAGAAAACTTTTTTTATCCATTAACAAGGAAACAAAACAAACTACAATAATCTGGTTATATTATTTAAAAAGTGATTGCTATTCTGCTTAAATAACTGACTGTAATAATACGGTTATAAATACTCATTTATGTGAATTCCTAATTTTCGCCTTAAAGGGAAAAAAGTATTTTTGCCTTATTTGAAAAAAAAAAAACTACGGTACAGTTTTGTTTCTACACAAATAAACAAATAAAGCTGCATACGAGTTCATTTAGGATGTGCTATTAGGTAGATTTGGTTATAGGTGGACAGAATCAGGTTGTTTTTGTTTTGTTTTTTCATTCCCTTGGCCTTTTTGATCAAGCTGGCCGCAGCCTTACAGACTACAGATGACCCAGACCAGAAAAGGAAGCAGGTAGCTATTAAAATATTCCTATGGGGTGCTCTTGGTAAGCGCCTTATGACAACGGAACCTTGTTTTCCATCCAGAATGGGAAGAATTGAATGGGTTAAAACAGCTTGGATGTTTATGTCTCCTTGATTTTAAATGTCTCACGCTAATATTCTTAATCCGAAAACAGGGTTTGATACATCCAGCTGCAGCTAAAGATGCTGCTGGTCCAAAACCTGACTCTCCCCGTTTCCAAGCCAACCAATGGTCCCTTTTCTTTCTATGCAAACATTGTGGAGGGGAACACGCTGTCCTCTCAGCAGACTTGAGTCAGAGACGGGACGGAACCAGGGGACCCTTAAAAGCTACATTCTCCTGGTTCCAAACTAAACACGTGTAAATACTTAACACTATATTTAAGGACTGACAATAATCCCTCGTTTTATTTTGGAGTTTCTAAAGATAGAGTTGTATTTATGGTTGCTGTCAGCCTATACTGTAGCTTCTACTGACAGCAGTCTGTACATAGATCACCTTTTAGTATTATTTCACATTAAAAAGTAGAGGGCTTTGTGATGGATATGACTATTGAACTTCTAATAGAGTCCCTCTCTAGTTTTGTACGATAGAAAGAAGGCTAATGCTAACATGGTACAGTAGTGGGGGTCCACTTGTTTTTGAAGTTTTCTTTATAAATATATAAATATTCGTATAAGCTGCTAGATACAATCACTAATTTTATTGCGTTGACAGAGGAATCAGCTATGAACGACTGTTAAGATTAACTCTCCAACAGCATAAACAGCCGTGTTTTTTTTATTTTTAATTTTTGTTCTATGTCTGATTGCTCTGTGTGGGGAGTGCGAGTATCACCTGTATATGTGCGTCCGTGTGTGTGTGTATGTGTGTGCTCAGGTTCCTGGTTGTGTGGTGTTTGTGTGCAGAGGAGGTTGGTGTGTTAACCAAACGATTGGTTGCTTGTCATTATTCCCCCCCCCCGCCCCCATCGTAATTTGGTCGCCATGCATTACGGAGGTTTGATGCACCTGATTAAAACTTGCTGGCTGAGAAGCAAAATAAATTTATTAAAAAAAAAGGACTTTTTTTCATTTATACAAAGAGTGTA